GACAGGCTCGGTGCCGGCCCTCTTTCCCTGGCCACAGGAGAAGGGGAGGCGCAGGCTCTCCACCTGAGCGGGCAGGCGAGCAAAACCCCGAAACTTTTTGCGTTCATTTGCAAAGAAGCAGCGAAAGCCGGTCCAGCTGGTCGTCGGGGTGCGGAACTGGGCTGCGGACGCCTGCCCAATCGGGTGGAGAGCCTGCGCCTCCCCTTCTCTTGCGGCCGGGGAAATTAGGACGGACTGGGACCGCTGGCTTCTGGCTGCGTGGCTGCCTCCCTCCGGAGCTGTCTTTCCCCCCCGCCATGCGCCACTGACGTCTTCTCTTTGCAAAGGAACGAAAAAGGTTTTGCTCGCCCGCCTGGGTGGATACCAGAGTTGGCGGCTCTAACATCCTAGTATCGGCCACAGGAAAAGGGGAGGCGCAGGCTCTCCACCCGGTTGGGCAGGCGTCCGCAGCCCAGTTCCATACCCCGATGAGGTGGGGCCGGGGGGTGAACGGACGTGGCTGCCCGGGCCGAGGAAGGTGCCACCGATGGGGCCGGGCGGTGGAGAGCCCTGCGGCAGCGGGAGGACGGCAAAGGGCCGCGGCTGCCCGGGCCAAGGTGGGGCCGGGCGGCGAAGGGGCGCAGCTGCCCGGGCCGAGGAAGGCGCTACCGATGGGGCCGGGTGGTGGAGAGCCCCGCGGCAGCGGTGGCAATGGGAGGACAGCAAAGAGCCGCGGCTGCCCGGGCCGAGGTGGGACTGGGCGACGAAGGGGCGCAGCTGCCCGGGCCGAGGAAGGCATTACCGATGGGGCCGGGTGGTGGAGAGCCCCACGGCAGCGGCAGCAATGGGAGGACGGCAAAGAGCCGCGGCTGCCCGGGCCGAGGTGGGGCCGGGTGGCGAAGGGGCGCGGCTACCCAGGCCGAGGAAGGTGCCACCGATGGGGCCGAGCGGTGGAGAGCCCCACGGCAGCGGTGGCAATGGGAGGACGGCAAAGGGCCGTGACTTCCCGGGCCGAGGTGGGGCCGGGCGGCGAAGGAGCGCGGCTGCCCAGGCCGAGGAAGGCGCCACCGATGGGGCCGAGGTGGGGCTGGGCAGCAGAGAGTCTCATGGCAGCGGCGGCAGCGGGAAGACAGCCAAGAGGCGCCACGCAGCAGGTGGGGAAAGGGCTGGGCAGGCGCCGTGGGGGAATCTCTCAACTCACAAGATGGCCAAAAGGAGTGGGCGGAGTGGGGAATCTACCGAGACCCAAGGCGACCCTCCTCCAACTAACAGAGGCAGAGGCGGCAGCAGAGCAGGGTGAGGGGCGACCCACCGGGCAGGGAAGAGGCATCCCGAGGCTGGCTCCTTACCTAGGTTCTGCTGCCTTTCCAGCAATCCTTCTGGCTCTTCCTCCGCTGCCACCACGTGCAGTCCAAAGAAGGAAAGAGAGCCCAAAGAAGTTCAACCAATCAATTCAAACTTCGTGAGAAGTTTGAATTGATTGGTTGAATTTTTTTAGTCCTACTTTTTTTTCCCTGGACTGTACATGGTGGCTGAGGACAGGGAGCCGCAGGAGACGGCTGAAAGAGCCGCATGCGGCTCCGGAGCCGCGGGTTGCCGACCCGTGTCCTAGACCCATTTGAAGAGATTAAATACTAAGGTAAAAATATAGGAAAGGGATATAGATTTGGCTTATTTGATCAAATTAAAATAGATTTGTTATTTCTGGTATCCCTTAATGAACTTTTGCTAATAAGGATTGTGAGACTTTTGGGTTTTGTTTATACTAAGAGATGAGATATGGGATGAATAGACTATTTTCTGTATGTTAAGATGGTGATCAGTTACTAATTTTTTTATACTTTTTATTTTTACATTTTTTATTTTTATATTTTTTGTAGTTAGTGTTTTGTTTTCTAATTGTAATTATAATAATCAAAAATTATTAACATTCTTTTAAAATTTAAAGAAAAAATAAAGTATTTTTATTTACAGATTCAGGACATGAAAAAGAGAAAATGGCTAGTCTAGAAACCAGCATTTTAGGTGAGGCTTATTTTGTAAGTTCATTTTGGAATTGTGGCAATTTCCTTATATTTGATGGGAATCCCTTTTAATAGAAATAGAACATTTTTCAATTCATTCATAAACGAATGTATGCTGCTGTATCATTAAAATACCTATAACAGATCTGCTTTCTTACCTATAAGTTTGAATTTTTATAGTTACTTTTTGTTTTCTAATTGTAATCTTTAATAAGAGTTATTATTACAAAAACAAAACATGCTATTGGTCTATATCTAGTAATAACGTTTATGAGAATAGAATGGATGGCGTTCCATCCTACAAAAAACATTTAAATTTCAAATTGTATCAAATTGTGTAATATCCACAGAGTATGGCGGTGCTAAGAATTTCAGACTTTTATCTATTATCTCTTCTACCCACTCCATTTCTTTGTTTAAATAGATGATCACTTTCGACAGATAAATAAGATGAAAAAATAAAGTGCAAACAATAATAATTATGGCTGCAATTCTGAAAAAAGTGAAATGGAGGCTGGTCCTATATAATTAAGGGAGTAACTAAATATATTTTGAGTTATGTTGTGCTTTTTCCTTGGACATCATGATGCAAGTCTATTAACTTTTTGATTTATTCCAGATACTTGTTAACATTTCTTGAGGGTAGAATTGAGACAGTTTTGTTAGGGATATGCAAATTTGAAATGTATACTAATTGTATCAGAAGTGTGTTCAAGGTCAAGATGACCATGTTTTGAAACAGAGGAAAGTTGTGAGGTTGGGACACTTCCAGACATACTGGACCAGCTGTTTCTAACTTAAAATGGGGCATTTTGAATTCAGCATTTTGCATACCGTATATTAATGCTGAAGTTGTAATTTTGAGATTTCATTATTTACATAATTTTTATTTTTTTAAATTCAAAAAGGAGTTAAAAGCTAACAAGAACTAATATAAAGAACAGGGAGAAGAAAAGAAAAGAAAGAAAGTTAAACATGCAAAAAGAATGAATAAAAAGAATTAGTAGTTTCTTATTTTCTTTACACAATTATAACTACAAATACAAAATTATTTCCTATTCTGTAACTACCAAAAACCTGTCTTTTTTCTGCAATCTATTTTTCTTATCAAAAACATTAGTCATCAGTTCATTTTTTTTTCTGTTTCATGCAAAAAGACTATCAGGGGTTTTCATTCAACAACAAACATAGATACTGTCTTTTCTTTACTCAAGGAAATAAATTTAGCCATTTCTGCAAGTTCCATCATCATTACCAACTGTTCTTCCATTGAGGATGGTGCCAAATTTTCCTACCTTTGTGCCCATAATAATCTCACTTCAGTTATCTTATACCAGTGATGGCGAACCTTTTAGAGACCGAGTGCCCAAACTGCAACCCAAAACCCACTTATGTATCGTTGGGTGCCAGGTGGGCGTGGCCCATTGGGTGGGTGTGGCCATTTGGGTGGGCGTGGCCCATTGGGTGGGCGTGGCTGCGGTGGTAACGGCAGACTGGGTGGGATTAAAAAGTTCAATCAATTCCAATTTTGCAAGATTTTTTTTTCCTGTGAGAAGTTGAAATTGACTGATTGATTGAACCTTTTTTTTTTTTTGCACACGGCGGTGCAGGCCTAAAGCAAAACCCAGCTGAAGGCCTAGGACTGGGGCGATGGCGCGCATGCCCACAGAGAGGGCTCTGAGCGCCGCCTCTGGCACCCGTGCCATAGGTTCGCCACCACTGTCTTATACCGTATAAAAACAGTATGCTTGTCCATTTATCCTTGTTTCAATTGCATATTAATCTTTAAGATTCTCTGAATCAGTGTATGAATTTACATCCGAAACTTTCTAGCCTTCCTTATTTACATTTGACTTTTTCTTCCATAAGGATTTTGGAGCCTTCTTATTCTAGCCATGATGACTGGGCTGTCGTGTTGCAGTTTTTCCTGGACAGTTATCTATTTTGATTCATTTGAACCAGGAATGTTTCCTCCTACTCCACTCTCCCCTGCACGATTTAAGTGAGTATCAGTTTAGAAAGAATCCAGTGTGAACAGATATTGGACTTGGAAATTTGCCATAAAGAAATTGATACAATATGCATACTATGTTTTCACATGATCACCTGTATTACCGAGACTTAGGCTAATGATTTGCAGTGTAGCTTAGATAGAGTGTATGAAACATCATGAAATCTGAATCTTAAGGTTTAATGACATTTTTGTAACAATGTAGAGACAGATGTGTTATTGAGATTAGAATTTTTTTTGCTATGATGGATGAATAGAACGGAGGAAATGTGGGACTTAGTTTTTTGTTAGGATTACATCAGTGAAGAACTATAATACACAGAGATGAAAGAAACAGAATTAGTGACTAAAGAGTGGATTTGGAAAAATGAATTGATGTAGATGTTGAAATTAACTATTTGGTTATTTTAAGATTTTGTTTAGAATTATTTTTAAATTACTGATTATAAATAAGTATTTTTGAATTAATGACTGGGTAATTACATTTGTTTAAGAATTGCAAAAATATTATAAATGCTATTAGGGTTAGATATTGGTTATAGTACGGTTAACAGAATAAGAGATGATTACCTCTTATTTATTTGTATCTGTACTGAGGAAAGTTGGAACTCTTTTTTATTTTTTCTTTCTTTTCTCACACTTTTAAACGTCTCCTCTTCTTGATTCCTTTTTTCTAATTTTTATTAAGTATTTTATTTTTTCTTTGAAACTTAAGTATTGTTTTAAAAAGAAATATGAATCTAAAAATAAATTTATTGAAGGCCACACAATTGTATTTGATAAGAAAATGGTTGTAATTTAAACATAAATTGCAAAAAACAACAACAGAATAAGTAGATTAATTTGTGTGCCTTAAAGAAGGGAAACTGGATAGAAAATTTTTAAGTGAAATGATGGCAGAAAAATCAGGAAGTACTTAAGGGTGTGGTAAAGGAAAAAAATAAGGATCAAGAATGAATGAACCACAAATTTACTTTTTAAATAGGTTCAATAATTTGCTTTTATCTAATAGAAATGGCATTTTGTTGACTTTTCTATTAGCAATGTTCACATTTGTATACTAAGGCAACAAATTAAGCAGTTTCAGGAGCTGGCCACCAGAGTGTGTTGTAGCATAATTTTTTACAACCCAAAGTATAAAATTCATTTTTTCCTTGAAAATTCCAGAAAATATAAGTATATTGTACAAAAGATGTAAAATTCATATATAATAGGTCTTGATTGGCCAATCAGAATTCAGTCAGTTGTGTTCGAATTCATTGTTATTCTTACTATCAGAATATAACACATAACTTACAGCTAGAGACTTTGTTGACCTTGGATGTTAAACAGAGCCAGGCTTGGTTACAACTGAAATGGGAGGCCACTTTGATGTGTGCCAGGTTGCAGGCTAGACTAAGAATGAAAAAATATACAGTGCATTCAGAAAGTATTCAGACCCCCTGCACTTTTGTCAATTTTGTTATTCTGCAGGTTGATTCTAAGAAACTACTAATTCTACAATTCATTTTTTTCTCAGTAACCTACACTCAGTATCCCATATTGACAAAGTGAAAAGAGACCTTAGAAATGTCTGTAAACTTATTAAAAAGAAAAAACTGAAATATCACATTGGCATAACTATTCAGACCCTTCGCTCAGTATTTTGTTGAAGCACCTTTGGTGGCAGTTACAGCCTTGAGTCTTTTGGGGAATGATGCAACAAGCTTTGCACACCTGGATTGGGAGGGGTTTCTGCCATTCTTCCTCGCAAATCTGCTCCAAGCTCAGTCAGGTTGGATGGCGACCGTCAGTGGACAGCCATTTTCAGGTCCTTCCAGAGATGTTCAATAGGATTCAAGTCAGGGCTCTGGCTGGCCCGCTCTAGCACATTCACAGAGTTGTCCCTAAGCCATTATTGTGTTGCCTTGGCTGTGTGCTTAGGATCGTTGTCATGTTGGAAAGTGAACCTTCAGCCCAGTCTGAGGTCTTGAGTGCTATGGAACAGGTTTTCACTGAGGATATCCCTGTACTTTGCTCCATTCAGCTTTCCCTCAACCTTAGCCAGTCTCACAGTCCCTGCTGCTGAAAAACAGCCGCACAGCATGAGACATCCGCCACCATTCTTCACTGTTGAGATTATATTGGGCAGGTGATGAGTGGTGCCTGGTTTCCTCCAGACATAACGTTTAGAATTGAGGCCAAACAGTTCAATCTTGGTTTCATCAGACCAGAGAATCTTGTTCCTTCTAGTCTGAGTCCTTCAGGTGCTTTTTTGCAAACTCCTAGTGGGCTTTCATGTGTTTTGCATATTCCAAAAGAAGGCACTGGCAAACAGTGTATGTACTTCTTCCAAGATTAGCATATTTTTATGTGTGGTTTTCATTGTATGTCTTGGTACATACGACTAGACAGATATACAGTAAGTCTAAACGTATCAGGTTAAATAATATTTGTTAGTGTTTTCATACATTGACTATATTGTGTAGTGATAGTTTAAAATAATGAAGAAAGCATCTTTAGGCTAGTTGCTGGTTTGTGTTGGCACAGAGATATGCCTAAAAATTAGTTGTATAATTTGGATGGCCTTAAAATTTATTGTGAGCATATTCTGCCACAATTCCTTACTATCCAAATCCTGTTTGATTGGGATATAGTAGCATGTTTCACTCAAGAAGAATTCTTACATTGTGTCATGGGTATAAAAACACAAACATTTGTAAGACTACGCAAGAAAGTTATCAGCAGTATTTGCCATAATGGTTTATAAGGCTGGCTGGTGGGGTGTGCATGAGAAATCCATATCAGACATTGCTGCAAATCTTATGTGATGACTAAATGCAAAAGTTTGTATACAAATTTAAAATACTGAGAAGGAATTAAAGTTTTTGAACACTGAAAAGGGCAGCTCACTAGGTGTTATTACTGTGTTCAGAGGCAGGTAGATATTAGCATGTAGTAAGCCTTAAAATGAGAGCAGCTTATCTATGTGAAATGTTTCATGGCTTGAAATATCTGTCCTTTCTAATCTGTTAATCAATTAATTGATCTTCTTTTCTTTTCAGGCGACTGACAGGACATTCTTTTCACATGGGCTATAGTATGGCTATATTGAATGGAATCGTGGCAGCTTTCACTATAGCCTGGTATCTTTTATAATCTGCTTTTAAATCTGTTTTTCAGAATATAGCCCTTGAAACCAAACCAGGTAGCCATTTGTATACAATATGATATTTGCTATACACTTCTCTTGTTTGTTTTGTATAATGTTGCTGAGGAGGGAAATATTAAAACACATGAACTGATGGAATTTGACATCAAAAGTCGACCCAGGCATTTAAGGAACCATTGCCACTTTCAGATTCCACTTGACAACCTCGTCTAAGAATGATGTTTAATTCTGAAGATCTTCCTACAGTCGTTTTTTGTATACCATTAAATAAATTTAAAATAAGTTCTTATCTTGATATGTCTCATGAATAGGAACAATTTATGGAATTTGTAATTCAAAGTGTTTTATTTACTGGAATTAGATTTTTTTTATATGTTATTGATTAAAGGAGGTCATGTATCGACCTTAAATTGCTTTGAAAGGTATTTTTTTTCATTGATCCAATGATTTGAAGTGATGTTTTTCCAAGCATGTATTAATTATGCAATATTAACCCTTCTGCCTTCCCAGTCTTTACGCCTCAGATTGCTCTGTATAAGAGCAGACTCATTTCTAGAACTCCATGGACTAGAAATTACTAGAAACAATTGTCTAAATAGCATGTTCTTGGATAAATATTGCTAAATATTTGCAGTATTTGCAACTATTTAAAAATTAAGGTATTTACAGTTGATCAGGCAAAATGAAAAAGATGGAAATCTACATTATTTGTAATAAGTAAAAATGTACGTGTTCTTATTAAAATATGTTGACACAGAACAAATCATGCATTTGTTGAAATATGATTCTGTATTTCTAAAATACTAAAATACTATGGAGAAAGATCCTGTTGCACATTAGAACAACAGGAAAACTTAATGAGTGATTAAGAGTATTTTCCCTTTATACCTTGAACTCACCAAAAGTCTGTGCTAGAGATTCATCGGCTATCAGTAACAAAAATTCAGCAGCTACAGGAACATATCTGTGGCTGCAGGAACTGAAAGGCTCATCTCTTACCAATTATTCTTCCATCAATGGAAGCTAAGTTTGGATCTAAAATGTTAGCTTAATTTCTTTCTGGTTCTTAAGCAATGTCATATGATATCATTACATTTTGAATATGCAGTAAAAAAAATTAAAAAATCCTTTGTCTTATACTTGTTTGTTGGTATGTTTTTCTCTATAAAACTGGTAAGAGACAGCATGCAAAAACGTTTGTATTGAGAAGGCAGGATAGTAATTCATTTGATGTATAGCAAAGCACAATTGTAATATGTATCAAGTATTTTAATTTTCTGGTGTCCACAATAAGCAAATAACTGAATTATCGTAAACTGTTCTTAATTCAATTTTTCCTCTTGCAGCTGGAGGACTAGTTGTGGGCTCAGAAAGAGACATGGATGAATATTTTGGCCAGGTTGTTTAATGCTTTGGAGGTTAAATGTAGGAATGGCAAATGAAGCCATTTCCCATTTCTATTCTTTCAAAAGCACTCTAATGTTCTCATCAAAATGGTCCAAATTGTGCTGTAGGAATCAAACTTCAGTAGCATAATTTGGGATTAGGTATTAGGTAAAAATGCAAGTGCTTTCCATCCCAGGAATTTCCTACTTCTATAGCTAGAAATTATGCTTCCAAAATTTGACCATTTTGCCTCTAAGTCTTAGCAGTGCAATCTTGGAATGTAATCAATCTACAATTGGACTTTTGTATTTCCTTGATGATTAAATCTCTCTCTCTCTCTCTGTCTCTCTCTCTCTCATTTTGTTTATGCAATATTTCCTTCCATTACAAAGTATACATAAGTTGTTTATTTAAATTCTTTGATTAAATTTCATCACAGCTCATTGTGAAATTGCATTCTCTTCTGGATGCATCCTTATCCTTCTGAGGGAAAGCAGTGACTGGTCCAAAATCACCCAGCTGGCTTTCATGCCTAAGGCTGCACTAGAACTCATTCTCTTGGTTTCTAGCCTGGCCCCTTAACCCCTGCACCAAATTGGCTCTCAGCACAACCTTGAATCTTTCTGTGCAGTTTTGGAACAGTGGTGAGCTGCCTTGTTCAAGCACCGTCAAGCCGGACAGAACTTGCGTATCCAAATTCTCTTCTATCCTCATAGTTCTCATGACAGTTTGCTTCCTTGCAGCACTTGCAAATTCAGCCGGAACTTCTTATTTGCTGGAAAGCAGTTCAGCTTCCACACAAAGCAGGGCCCGGCTTTTGTGGAATCCAATATGTATAGAGACAGTTGAATGATGTCAGTGGGAATGTGGATTACCTCCCAGAAGAGCTGTAGATGGGTTTATCTCTCAAGATAGTTCTTAAGAGGATAATACAGCTGTTGGAGGAGAAGGAACCCTAAACACCACATTGAATTGCTTGTGGAAAGGTATATAAGTGTGATTAATTATTAGAAAAACCAGGGTAATTAGTTTTGCAGCTCTTCATTTTCCCTATCCATGTTGCATGAAGAAAAGGGAATTGCAATGACAGGAATCGGGAGATTTGAGCAATTATGATGCGGATAGATAATTAATGGTAGCAGATTCCATGAAGAACGTTAAAGAATATTTTATGCTGTATGAAGGGCAATTCATACCATCCATTTCTGAAACCCTTTCAGGGTTATCTAGACACTTTGCCAGTAACCAAAGAAACATAAAGAAATGTACCCAAATTTTGTGTAGTGGCCTGAGGGACTAGAGAAGAAGAGATGTAGGACTGTCCTTGGATAGATACCAAAGAGCAAGTATGCAAGACTTTCAGGCTGGTCCTTCCTCAATTAGTAGGAAGCCTAAAAATTTTAAAGCACATTAATCTGCACTTCCTTAAAAAGGTGAAATCCAAATATGAGAATTTTTTAATACGCTTTTATGTACGTTTCAAATTTCTCTTTGGCCCTCAGATGTGTGTGTGTTAATATGCTACTTGATATTTTCTATGTTACATTAGCCATTTGTATCTATGCCACTACAGATGTGTTTTTTAATGGCTGTGAATGTGATAAAGAAATGTTTGAAATAAGCTAGGTTCAGAGCAACTCTTCCTATTTTCTGAATAAATGCAGATGAGAAAAGAAAAGGCATTTATGTGGCCTATGTGTATAAAGTAGCTACTATGGCTATATAGTTAATATCTGAATAAAATAATTTTCATGAATCAATTATTCCCATTCCCAACAAAATACATGTTAAGAAATGTTTTCTATAGATTTATTATTATTTTTACCAGAACTTTTGGTGTACTTTATATCTCAGTTATTAAGCATACATATCTGCTTTGAGAAAAATCTTTTATTTTAGTCTTTTAAAGTATTCGTAATTATTTTTTAAAAATATTCAGATTATATGCTTGCATGAATTCTTTTGGATGTGTACCAAAGCGTATACTAAAACATAATTACAACATTGTAGATAATTGCTTTTCTAGGAAATACAATTGAGCTTTGTTCTGGCTTTTATATTACTTTATTGACCTAGAAACATTAAACTGAATAATTGTCCATGTAGAAGCTGTTTTATATTTAAATACTGAATCTGAGTGAATAACTTAATAAACATGATAATACTTAATAAACGTATGTTACAATATATTAATACCATAGTACCTGTGGTTTTTGAGAGCCAGTGTGGGGTTATTGTAGTGGTTTAAATGGTTTAAAATACCAGGCTAAAAATGTGGCAACTGGGAATTCTAGTCCTATCTTAGGCACAAAGCCAACGGATTGACCAGGACAGTCATTCTCCCTCAGTCTTAGGAAGAAGTCCATAGCAAACCACATCTGAAAAATACTCAGTTCAAGAAAACTGCATGGAAATGTCCATGTAGTCACAGGAATCAAGATTGGCTGGAAGGCAAACTTCTTCACCTCCCAGTCCCACCTCCCCTGACCTCATAAAACCATACGGCATTATTAATTTACATTTACATCTTGAGTAGGAGTTTTGCATAATGCTTCTAGGACTTAATTTGGCATTTTATCATTATACCACTTGGGTTATGCATCGGTCTTCAAACATAAATTCGAAGATTGATGGCTGGTTTCCTTTGGCCTTCAGGATCTCAAACTATTTAAACCTGGCTGTCATCCCCTTAGGTCTCAAAATATCTGGGAGGTTGCAGAAGAGAACTTTGCAGCATTTTTGCTCTTAATATTATTTCTCCTTTGCTGCTGTCGGGGAGGGAGTCTCTGGTGAACAAGGTGGAAGCAAATTAACCTGCATTTAGAAGAAGGTTGCAGAAAATTGTTCTTTGCATTAACCCGGAGTCCAAGCCATTTCAGAACTAACATGTGTTTGTGGCTAAGGTGTTGGACTAGGAACAGGGAAGACTAGGTTTTAGTGTAGCCTTGGCCACAGAAGCATACGTGGTAGGTGACTTTGGGCCAGTTACAATGTCTTAGCTCAACCACTCACAGGATTGTTGCAGAAAAAAATAGGGATTGTTTTATACACCTGGAACTCCTGAATGAAAGGAAGGAATATAAATAAAGTAAAATCAATGCTTTCATAAACGGCAATACAGAATTCTTCATGTACTCAAAAGTTCTAACCATTCATTCTCAATCTCTTGCTTTTGTTAATACAACGGGCATTTACAAGGGCACATGAAGAATCTAAACAATGAGGTTTACATGTTTTGAACAGGTCACTTTAACTTTGCAGAATCATTTTTTGTTGAAAAATATTCAGTATTATGGCTAACATAATTTATAGCAGACTTGAAAATTAGGCATTTTGTTTCCAAAATTGTGTCACAATCTTAGCGTGCTAGATGTCTGCAAATTAAATGCTGCATTAAATGGTTGGGGATCGTATGTGAGATCTGCAAGTTGCTGGCTGCACCCATACTATAAGTTTCAGTTAACACAGTAGTAAGGGATGATGCCCCAAAATTTTTGGAGCATATCAGTTTGCTTCCTGCTTTCTTAGAGAAGAAAAGAAGTGGAAATGTTTTTTTTAAAAAAATATGATTTATTTTATAAAGCAAAGATTAAAAGACTTCTTATCCATTGTCCTCTTTCTAGAACAAGCACTTCCTCCGTCATGTTAGTGATGAGCATGTTTAACCAAAGAGTTGTGCAAAATGCTTGTGACCTGAGAGAAGGGTTCATTGCTTAGTATTTTTTTTCCTGTAACATACGCTATTTGGCTAATGTAGCTTTGGGATTCTGGTTGAAGATAATCATTAAAGTTCTTGCTTTTTAAAATGTTTTTTCCCCCACTCAGGTTTGCAAAATGGCTTATCTTGAGAGCACACCACTTTACTGGAGTGAAGTCTGTGATAGAAATTAGATTCTAAGCTATGATTTATCTGCTCTTCCCTTCAATTTCGTTTGCGGCAGTATAACATTTGTGCTCAGTGCTTTCTGTTTCTTCACTGGGATGAGGAATGTATAAGGGGCAAAGCCTTGGATTATGAAAAAGGAAGAAAAAGCAAAAACAGCTGAAAAAAAAACCCTTAAAGGTAAAAGTGACATAATTGCCACTAAAGTTATTGGGGTCTGTTCTTTTCACTAAGATTTTGCCTAAGAGGTATTCTTGACTCAGCATTCATGGCAGCATAATCTTGTCTCGACCAAATGTTTATTTCTAGGGGGACCCGAGGCAGAACATCAGTCTTCTACCTACTACTCAGGCACTAGGATCAGCTATATCAGGGGTCAGCAACCTTATACACTCAAAGAGCCACTTGGACCCATTTCCCAGAGAAAAGAAAACACTTGGAGCTGCAAAACATGCGTGGGGGCACATGAGGGGGGAAGCTTGATTGAAGAGTTTAATTAAAAAGAAATAGAGGCTGCTGTGCATGAGTTCTCCCTCCCTCCCTCTCTCTCTCTCTCTCTCTCTCCCTCCCTCCCTCCCTCCCTCTCTTTGTCTTCCTTCCTCTCTCTCCCCCCTCTCTCTCTCCGATCTTCTGCTCATTGGCAAGCTGGCTTCATGCTGTTCTCCGACAAGCTGACACACATTCTTATTGGGCTGGCTCTCTCCTGCCCTTGGTCTGCCAGTCCTCTTCCCCCACTCAGTGAGTGAGTGAGTGAGTGAGTGAGTGAGTGAGTGAGTGAATGAGAGGGAGAGAGGGAGTGTGTGTGTGTGTGTGTGTGTGTGTGAGAGAGAGAGATGCTTCCTGCTTC